TTTATGGACCGATTACAGTATGAGGGTAATGCGTCCATAAGGCTGCCCAGGGAGGTGGTTGAGTCCCCATCCCTGGATGTGTTTAAGAAAAGGATGGATGAACTACTTAGGGATATGGTTTAATGGGAGATTAGGGATGGTTGGACTGGATGATCTCTAAGGTCTTTTCTAACCTAGAAATCTACGAAATCTATGAAATCTTTTCTGAGTTCCTTTTATTCTGCTGTATATTGTATTTCCTGTGTGTCCTGCTAATCTGAAGGTGGTATTTCTACAAACCAGTTTGTTGTCCTGGAGAATGAACGCAAGCATTCAAACAGAGCTTCCTGTGCAGTATCTCTATGTGTGAGTGATATGACAGCTTTACATTTTGGATGGCTGAGTATCAGAAAAGAACAGGGAAAGAACTTGTTTTCAAACTCCATGGTTCAGATTAGAATTTCTTCAGGATAGGCTGAAGTTCTGTGAATGATTGACACATCTTTTTTTAAGCCCTTGCTTATGAAAAGGTTGCAGGGAATTAAAAAGGTCAAAAGCTTTGGTAGTGGAAAGAGGAGAATCCAGGGAAGTAAAGCCTAATCAGCCTGGTTTAAGTGATACAATTTTAAAAAGGGAAAGTTTTAAAAGAAAAAATTATGTCAAATAAGTGGAGTTTATTTTTCTGATGTATTATAAGGCTTGGATATGGAAGTGTTTTGTGGTTTAACCCCAGCTGACAACCACGCACCACACAGCCACTTGCTCACACCCTGCCCTGGAGGGATGGAGCAGAGAATCAGAAGAGTAAGAGTGAGAAGACTCCTGGGTTGAGATAAAGACAGTTTAGTAGGGAAATCAAAAGCCGCACACGCAAGCAAAGCAGAAAAAGGAATTCATTCACCACTTCACATCAGTGGGCAGGTGTTCAGCCATCTCCAGGAAAGCAGGGCTCCACCACACTTAACGGTTCCTTGGGAAGACAAACACCATCACTCCAAACGTCCTCCTCTTCCTTATTCCTCCAGCTTTATATGCTGAGCATGATGCCACATGATATGGACTATCCCTTTGGTCAGTTGGGTTCAGCTGTCCCAGCTGTGTCCCCTCCCAACTTCTTGTGCACCCCCAGCCTTCTCACCGGTGGGGCAGCCTGAGGAGCAGAAAAGGCCTTAAGACTCTGTGTAAGCACTGCTCAGCAGTAACTAAAACATCCCCATATTATCAATGGGCTTCATCACAAATCCAAAACATAGCCTCATACTAGCTGCTATGAAGAAAATTAACTCTACTCTAGCCAAAACCAGCACAAAGTGGTGGATGTCAAAAGCATTATTTTAAATCAATACATCAGACAGCTTCAGTCAAGGTAGGGAAATGCAGTCTGACTATTTAGCTATGCTGATAGTGCCCACAGGAAGCTGGAAAATTGCACTGTGAGGTGGCATGCTGTCATACTAGAAGTTGTTGATTCTGCAGGCATCTGTCACAGATTTGTTGCCTAATAAAATTATTTTCATCCATATCCTGGGTATGTTAATTTCTCTTCCAACCCTGTTTTCTGGATGCATCCATGTCAGAATTTCATCCGAATCAGTTCACTTTCTCCTTGCTTTGAGACAAAAGTAAAGAAGGGTTCTGAAAGTAGCCTGCTTTATTACAGCATCAAATCAAAGCATCCAAGTTGTTCTATTTATTTATGAATGTTGATTATTTTTAGTACTCAGTCCATCTTCTCTCAGAAAACTAGGTGGATAGCCTGTTTTATGTTGCTGTGTTAGTAGGTGGCTAATGTACCTCTCCCAGCACAAATCAGGACTTACTCCTTTAAAGCCTTGGAATGTGACATGCTCGGTCTGGTTTTGGAATACACCCAGATCCAGAATCTCTAAGCTATGTCCAGAAATTCAGTGCCCTAGATGCTGTGTTTGCAATTTAGTTGCAGGACCTGATGGCCAGTTTGAGGCAGTATGTGTAACTGCAGTTCATCCAATAGTGCTTATACTCCTTTTCAGTCTGTAGATGTGTCATTGCATGCCGTAACCTCTAAGCTGAAGGCAGAATAATTGTCTTCCTACAGCAATTCTTGTTCTTCAGTGTGTGTGGTACAGTATTTTTAACCCTGCCACACTTTTAGCCTTCCATTAATGCATTCTTAGAATTACATTTTGCAGCCACACACTTTGTGTGCTCACATATAGAATCATAGATTCTATTCTATGAATCATTCTGTGAGTTCATATCTGTGAGTTCTTACCCATTCTCAACAAGGTAGAGTAAGACTATTCATAAGAGTGAGAAGTATTTATATCTGCTTAAGAACCAACCAGGCAAGCGTAATATTGGACTTGAATCATTAAATAATTAAGGCTGGAAAGGACCTCAGGAGGTCTGTAGTCGAGTCTCCTGCTCAGAGCAGGTTCAGCCATGAGGTTAGTCAAGGTGACTCAGGGTTTTATAGACAAGATCCTCAAAAACCTGATCTAAGTTGGCCCTGCTGTGTGGGATGTTGGAACAATTGATCTGAAGAAGTCTCCTTCAGCCTAAATTACTGTGATTCAGATTTCCTTATACTCTTTTGTGCTCAAAGACTTGTAGTCTGTGTTAGCTCAGGGGCACCTCTGGTTTTTAAATTGGTATTAAAAATCATCTTCAGTATAGGTATGGAAAAAACAATACTTTTAAATGTCACATAAATACTTGTAGTAATTATTACTAAAGCACTGCAGTTTGTGCCTGACCACTGCTCTGCTTCTTTGTTAGGCATGGCAGACCTGCAAACAGAAAGGGGAGCTGAGGCATCCCAAGGTTGGTTAAACTTTATTTCTGCTGTTCTATTCAAGGTCAGTGGCTTCAGTGCTGGAGTTTTTTGTATTTGTAGTAAGGAATTTTTGCTAGCAATCCTCCTTTATAATAGTTAAGATTTTTCATAAGTAAATAAAAGTGTAGGCTTTTATGAGTCTTTGAATCCAGTCCTGAGAATTTGAAGGCAATCCCTTGTATCATCCCTTTAACAGATGGATCAACAGTGGCTAGAGGGTTTGAAATCCAAGCTGAAAATGGAAATCGAGCTGTAGTTGAAAAAAGTATTTTTAGTATGCATAAGTGTCTCTTTCTGTCTTTTTAAAGAAAACACAAATCTCCCCGCCCCCCCCCAAAAAAAAAAAAAAACCACAACACCCAAACAACTAAAAACAAACCCCCACCCTGAAAGATGGAAGATCTTTATGTGCATTAGTCACAAAAAAAGAGTAGGATTGAAATAACTGTCCAGTCTTTTTTTTTTTTTTAATAAGATAAACCCCTTTTTATTTCTCTACTTCTTTCAGAGCATAAGATGCTTTATGAACTCCAGTGTGGAACATACAATGAGTTGTAATGAGTAGCCAAGATGGCCAGAATCTGTCTGATAGTTATGCATCCAGATAAAGAAGTTCTGTTTTTTTTGGAAGGAACATGCATCTTAAAGTAGATTCTGTAGTAGCAACACAGAAGAGTTGGACTTGTGGGTTTATATGAAGAATTTAGATGACCCACAGCTGCCCTGGTGGTAACCAAAGTATAGTTTATTACTCAAATATATAATTGCCTTATGTTTTCATACATGTCATAATACTCGATTGGTACGGATGCGAAGAAAGCTGTGAAGTCCAATCAAATTCCTCCATCGCTGTGTGTAAATATTATTTGTGTCTACGCAGAAGAATATGAGAGAAAGCTTACTAGCAGTAGAAGAAACTAGTTTCTAACAATTTTCATGTTTGCGTTTTTCACTTTCTTTTCCAGGAAGAGCTTGAGTGGGGTCGATCAAATTGTATTAATGTCGGTAGAATCAGAGCGGTAAGATGAAATAGATAATATTTTTTAAAAGCATAATGATGTAACTTTCCTTATTTTCTACAAATATTGAAATCTTGGATAAGCCTACTGTGTTATTAGGTATCTATCAATATCTATAGATGCATATTTTCTTTAAATGAACTGTGAATTTTTAGGTTTTGTTTCTTCTTCGGAGGAGAAATGGTAGTATTTAAAGTTGTCGGAGAATATTGGGACTCCCAAGTACAACTTAACAGATCAGACAGAAGCTTTATTAGCTATGCTCATAAGAAGGGAACATTCGGGCAACATTTCCCCCTCTGCTCCTCTCTTTTCTCTCCAGTGGATGCAGAGAACCCATTTACATACGGTTTCAAAGAAAGGAAAGCAGTGAGGAAAATCATTTTAACGTTAACAAACCCCGGTGTGTATTCTTGTGAAGAATGGACTTCAGATAATCGTTGAGATGTTAATAAGGCAAATACCCATGCCTAGGAGGGATGGACTTGTCAATTGCCAGCCAGAATTGGCACCATGAAGATGACTCTTGGTGGAGCTTGTAGGATTGGCACATCCAGTATCATTTTAGCTCAGAAATGAGGGTTGGAAACAGTCACAGACCACTAGCTTTAGACAAAAGGAATTTTCCTTTTGTTAGGATATAAATTTCTTAGCCAGACCTCTCAAATATTGAATAATAATTTTCCACCACAAAGTGGTGCTAAATTGTTAACTGTTCAATGTATTTTTAAAATTTTTTTTTAAGAGACCTCCAGTATTATTTGCTCATTCTATAGATCCTTCAGATACACTGGTTGGAGTATGACTGCCGTTTGTTGTTACATAGCTTTTATCTTATAGTTAGGACAATTTTAAGCAAATACAGTTATATAATGCGGACTGGACTTGAAAATTTGTGGGGCTTTGTTGCTGACATTACTGCAGCAGTTAATGAAAACTGTATCAACAACAGGTTTCAAACTTAATGTTATATACTGAGAGCAGAAATAAGTAAAACTCCTGAATAACTGGCTGGCAGAGCGTGGCCTTGCCGATTATTACAGCAATTCATACCTTTGGCATGAGTAATGTAGGGCCTGTGTTCGAAAAGCACAGGAAAAATAAAAGCTTTTCACAGTAAGCAACCTTCCAGCTAAGAAATGCCAATAGTTTTCAATAGTTTTTTAGCTTGTAGATCTGATATGAAGGAAAAAAAAGAAGAGAAAAAGGCAAATTGTGTAAAAATGGAGAGCTGAAGTATCAGTCCTATGTGATAGCCTTCTGGGTAGTTGGTGTTCTCTTGGCCTGATTTCAGGTAATTCAGGAAGAGGTTGTGCACGACATAATGGTTCAGGAGTTTAGAATGGACACCTGCGCTAACACTTAGTAAGAAGATTTGGAGTTTTTTATTTGCCATGCTTTCAGATACTAATTTTATAATTCCTTGTGTGGAAGTGGATTTGCAGAACTGAGGCAGTGACACAGGCTGGTTTCTGATTATGGCAGTTGTTCTATGAGGAAAATAACAGGAGTTTTAGTATCCTAAAACTGCCAGCAGCAGAAAGCAAAACGTAGATATGAAGCAGTTGAGCAGACTGTACTTCTCTACGTTTGCTCCAAAATCAGTTGGGACAATGAAGGCATTCACTGTGTGATCAGAGGGCCGATGGCTACTTATGGAAGCTTCTTGGAAATGGTCAGGACTGAAAGCTTACTACAGCATGTTCTGCTGTGGGGCATGAGTTTGGTCTCTCTCAGTCAACACAGTCTGCTGAACTGAGGGTACAGTGTGTGGTCACTGCTACAGTTAGGTTCATGTTAGCATCTTTTTTACTTTTTAAGATAAAAACCCAAGATGTTTTAAATGGAGAATCAGTACATCATCTTGTAAAAAGTTACTTCAGTTCTTTTTCTAATTTTGTTCTGTATCGCATGCACATAATATGCTTTGCAACTTCAAAATTCTACTTTTTATAAAGAGGTGTCAAGAAAACTGCTTGAGTCAATACTGAAATTATTTTCTGAAGTACAGATGATGTATTAGGTGAAATGCATACTAGTGTCACCTAAAAATGAAAGTGAGTTTGCCCACTTATTTAGACTTTTACTATTAGATTGGTATTTTTAGTTTGCGGATGGTTTTGATCTGTTTCATATGTAACTTAGAGTTCACATTTCAGGTGGCGGAGTTATTTCAGAAGTTGAAAATGCGAGTCGGAGCATTTAACATGTGTATTAATGCTCAACCATCTGCTATGGATCAGGAATGTGAATACAGACAGCTCTTCATTTTGCAGGTAATGCTTCACTGACTCTTCAGGGGAGAGCCATCGTTTACAGAATTTATAACTGGATTTTATATACGAGTACTGATGGACTAGTATTACACTTGTCTTTCAAAATTCTCTGTAGATTTGGAGATTACAGCAGGGAGAGAAAAGTAATTCTTTTTGACAACTTAAACAACTAATGTTATTTTTAGTTGTTTGGAATTGACACTAAGTTGGTCCTCCAGCTGTCCATTTGTTGTCCCAAATCCGGGGTTTGTTTACCCAGTGTGTGAAATACCAATATATACACAGAGTCGAGGTATTTTTTGCATTTTTGCGCAAAGATGAGTGCCAGTCCCAAGAGAGCATGCCCCTTCCAAGACTCAGGGAGCATTTATCCAGTATGTATTAGCATATTTACATATTCACTGTTACTCCCTTAAATGATTGGTTAGTTTTCTCTCGCCTAGGATGTAAATTAGCTTGTGTGCTCAATCCGTTGCCTCTGCCCCTTCCTTTTGAGTCTGGGTAAGTTTAGGGTAGGTTGTCTGTGAGTCAGTGGTTGTGATTTCCCCCTGCCGCCTTCACCTTTCACCGAGTTACTGCTGACTCTTGCTGACTTTATGCTTGTGATATTCTTCCAATCTCATTAACCTTCCTCATAGCAAGATGTTTTCCTTATCAGTCTTTGAAGTCCTTGCTTTGGCTCCTCCTGTAGAGATGAACAGCTAGCGGAGTCATTAACACTTGCAGGATGTTTTAGATATACAAGGACATGTGTCGTCCTCTTGACTGAATGTTTTAAGTCTCCTCTGCTACCCCTCATTATCTTAAAAGGAAACAAAGTCTACTACGTCTTTGCATCTACACCTTCCCTTCTGACAGTTCATCAAAATAAAACCGCGTCATACTGAGATTATTTAAGCTGCGTATCTAGACTAATCTTTCTTAAAGTCATAAAAATACTCTAGAGTAGGATGGTTTGTGTTGGAAGGCTAAGAACTGATACTTTTGAAAATGATGTTTTTACTTGTTTTGACTGCCCTATTTGGGCCACCACTGGTTTGGTTAGTTATTGGGGGGCTGGAAATTAGATACCTTTCAGCTATTGTAACTTTGTCAAATTTCCGATTACATTTCTTGTCCTATTTGGACTGATGAGTAGTGATTTTATTTTCACAGACCTATTGATTGTTTCAGTGGCGATTAGTTTAACTGTGAAAGCAGCGAACCTTTCAAAGCTGAATTATTAAATACTGTAAAATGTAACATGAAAACTGAACAAGTTTCATGTAGCTATTTTATGTGAATTTATTTAAAATTGAAGGTTTTCTTGAAATCAGAGCTAACAACTACAATTTTCATAGAGCAATTCTGTGTACAAAAATATTAAAATGTTGTAAAATTGTTCCAGAAGTTGAGCTCTTTTCATGAGAAGTATGTTTTTAAGGATTTACATGAGTTAATGTTTAGTCCAAAATGACAGTAATTCCTAGAAAGAGATGAAAGATGATCTTCCTATGAAGATCTGTCAGTATCTCTTTAAGTTGCTAGTGTATCTCTCTTCAATAGACTGAATATAATCTGCTGTATTTTGCAAAATATTTTCTTGATTTCAGGTTGTAATAGCTGGTGCTTTCTATCCAAACTACTTTACTTTTGGAGAATGTGTTGAAAAAATTGCTGAGAGAGACCTTGCTGATAAAGATCCAAAAACAACTGTAATGGTATGTTAAGGTGAATGACAATAAAGAATCAAGTAATAAAAACGTGTAGTGTTCGGGCGGTATTTTCAAATTTTGTTCTGTTTTGGGCAAAGATAGAAATAATTATCTACTGTGATCCATACTTGGAAAGTCGTCTTCTCTCCCATCTCCCTTTCTAACAATATAATAAACATTGTGTGGGTGGGCAATTTTGGAAGAATTCCTTCTGAGAACTGCCCCTATGCATTTGATTGCTTGTCTTGCACAGGCAAACAACTTTCATTAAACTAATAAAAGATTTATCTGATTGAGTAAGTGCAAGTTTGAAATGGCTTTGTTGATTTAGCGAAACAGTACACAATCTAAACTAGGAAAATGTTTGTTGTATCTGAACTAGTATAATACTGCAAAATAACTATGAGCTACGCTTGAAACAAAACAACTTACAAACCAGTAAGCCTCAAACAATAGACGTGTATTGACACAAGAGAAAATAGTTAGATGAAATGGTAGGAGAAAAACTCATAGAAGCTTGCTGACAAGGAATTTTTTTGTGCTTTACTGCTTACCCAAGAAGGGAGGCTAGTTCTATACTGAGGAGATGCTGGCATGGCAATATATGTGCACAAACGCATTTGTGTGTGTTTTTGAAGTTTTTAACATATTGTTTTAGGATATTGAAGGAAAAAAAAAAAAGTCCTGCTTAACAGACTAAACACAATGTTGTGTAATAAAGGCAAGATTAGTCTTGCCACAGCAGCACTGATTAAGATTAAACTGTTAGATCTAGGGAGCTGCTTACTTTTAATGTATGTAACTCTTGATCGGCTCGTATGTCAACTGCTTGTTATCTTGAAGAAGAAAGAAGTAGCTGCTCTATCTTCATCAGTGTGAATGATCTTCCTGGGCACAAGTGCTGCAAGTTCCTCGAGCTCTCAATTTGAGAGACTCTTCTTATAGCCATATGATGCTCCTAATGGTGTGTGTCAAAGATATAAAAGGTAATTATTCCTCCCGCTCCCTGGTCTCTCTAAATTATCTTGTCTTGAGGCAGTCTGACCTAGACCGTGGTTTTGACCAGCAGCTGATTTAGTACTGTAACTTCAAGGCATATGAAGATTTCCTAAACATAATGTGTTCTTTCCTGTCTAAGGTTGTAACAACCAAAGAGAAGAGACAGTTGCATAGCCCCTGAAAAACAGTTCAAAGTCCAGAAGTTTGAACTTGGTAGTTAGGAGTTCCGTAATTCTGTATTAAAGCAAGATCTCCTATAAGAGATTATTGAGTAAGAAAAAGGTAGAGAAATAGATATCTGGCTACAGTGGCATATGAGCAGTTGTGGAACTACAGCCTTAAACTGATGTAAACCAGTGCTGCGGGAGTCTTGCTTTGCTTTTGACTGCACACGCCCTTTTCTTATGTTGGATCTCATCTGCCGCCTGAGTCAGTCAGGTGTTTAAAGTGGGAGAAAGCTATTCTGTTGTTTTGTAGAGTTAGTTTTCAAGCTAGTTTAGCTCACAGAATTTGTGAAATGCATGACTCTCTCTCTTGTTGCCTTGGTCATACATGGTAAAGTCATAATCCATAATACTCAACTATATACAATCTATGGAATTCACTATACTTAGCATTATGCAATCTGATATACTTAACTAAATTGTTGTTCTTAACAGAACGCCTTTGAAAAGGTGTTGCAACTCCAGAAACTTTGGCAATTGGTAGTGGTTTCAAGATTAAAACCCAAGAATAAGGAAATTGCTTCATAATTCTGTTTGGAAGAGACCTCATGAAGTCATCTAGTCCAGTGATAAAGTCAAAGCAAGATTAACAGTGAATTCAGACCGTGTGGCTTAGGCCTTCATCCACTTGAGGTTTTTAAAAGCTCTGAGGATGGATATTCTGCAACTTCCCATGGGATCCCACCTACAAGTTCCCTGAATAAACCAAACTGTGCTGTCCTAGACTTCAGGATGTGTATTCTGCTAGTTGTCTTCCTCATACTCCTCAGATCTTGAGCTCCCTTCTTTCCTGGTTCCTCTGGCCCAGGCTGTGGTTGATTATCACTTCTATAACAAGTTCTACATTGTTTGCTAACAGCAGATCCAGAAGAGCCCTGTTTGACACATCACCAGTGTTAAGAAGTTACTTTCAACATCCTTCAGAAATCTAGGAACTTGTGTCTTTCTAGCAGGTTATCAGGGAGCTTATTGACTCCCTTTAAGACACGGGATCGGTGATCTGGAGACCTCTGCAAGTTGCCTAAAGATTGTCTGCTTCATCCCGACTGATGCTCTGTTACAAATTCCCATCTCAGCGTTACCCTTATTGACCTCTTTTCTTAACCTGACCCACAAGAACTGGGTTGTCCCACTGTCGTCTTCATCTAAGAGCACCTTACGTTTGACCTACTCCTCTGCACAGGGAAGACCAGGAGGTTGGTTTTTGTCTGTCACAACTAAGAAGTGTGTATCCATCCGTAAGTGCTCTCCAGTTGTGCAAGCTGTCCCAGCATACCTCAGTAATTCAGTACATGGTAGTTCTGCCAGGACGTGGAGGTCTGTAGCTCCCCGTGTATCCCAGGCTACGTGTGCTGCCTAGGATATAGTTCCCAGTGATGGAAAAGGAAGCATAGCAATCCATTGTTTTTCTGTTGCAAGCAAAAAGAGCGATACTAGAAGCTTCTAGGAAAATATCAAATAAATATATCTAATTACAATCAAAGCTGCTTCGTTTGTAGTTAAAGAAAACATTTATCTACTGGTTTGAGGCAGTAGGACAGCATTAGCAGCAGAACTCTGATTTTATTGTCTTTTGAGATTTTTTAAATTTAATACAGTATATAGCATTTTTTAATTTGTTGGGGTTTAGGTTGTATAGCACTATTGCAGCTCCAGGAGGAAGCCAACTATTTAGGTGAACTTAATAATGCATTAAAATAATTGAATGCATCCAAATTTAACTTCTTTTTCTTAACAGCTGAAGAAAATTCCTCCCTATGGATATTTATACCATAAACAGTTGCAGTCACTGTTTAAACAGTGTGGGCAAGTAAAATCTATTGCCTATGAGGGATCAAAGTAAGTATAAAATACTTCAACACATTCTCAGTTATGGATGTAGTAATCAAGTTCTTTATCAGTGTTGCACTGACAAAATGACTTTATTTCTTCTCGTCTCTTTGCAATCAGTAATTTATTTTTAATGCATTGGCTAGAATAAGAAAGGTGGTTTTGAATTTTGATATACATTGGTTGGAATAACATTAGATGAACTAGCTGAGTTAGAGACCGCCTTCCGTTTTGTCTCTTCTGTTGTCTAACAGTGGACCTTAACTGCAGCTGATCTGTCTGTATTTATTTCTGAGCTGTACGCTGAATTTAGCTCATGTGTACAGTCAGATGGCTTTGCACAAAATGCGTGACTGTCTGGTTTAGCTAATCTTCTGGCTAACCTCGGACTGCAGCTGCCCAAAGCTGAATTCGTGTAGCCCTTCTTATGCCTTTTCCAATTTTTAATTCTTTTCTTATTCACTTATATTTTCACATCCTTTCTATTCGTATTAAATATACTTGGTATATTTGGTATGTGCTTATGAGACTGTTATAAAGTTTTCTTATAACCATCATCATAATTAATGTTTTAAGGTGCATAACAGCAGTAGGCAAAGCTTGTGAGGAACCTACTTTTTACTGTTTACTGGCCTGCTAAGATAAAGACACGGAGAAGAAACAATGGCTGTTGTGGGGTTTTTGTTGGGTTTTGATTCCTCATCAGGTATTTATTGCGGTTTTATTTGGTGGGTTGTTTTGAACAGGGCTTTCGTGGAGTTTGCCCGTAACCCATTGGAGGGCTTTAAGATTCTTCCTGCAGTGTACCTGTCACTCAAGATGTCACAGCTGAAAATTCCTCTTGAGCTGAATGTTCATTGCCCGGATCATATTGAAAGGCAATTGCGAGATGAGAGAGCTGCAAGTGTGAAATCTCTAAGGTAATTTTATTGCATATGGAAAATGGATTTCTTTGCAGTGTTAAGCTGAAACGAAGTCTGTAGGATTCAGTGAGAATTTCCTTGGAAGTGTCACCAAGGAAGACGTTTTAGGTTCAAAAACCAGATGTGTAAACTTTGCGTAAGCAGAATGTTTTTGCAGGACTAGAAATAACATGATTGTCTTAAATATTTCTTTATAGTTAAAGGTGACTTACTGCTTAAGAGAATTCCAAGTATACACTGTTGGGTTTTTTTTAAAGATTCTCGTCCATTTGCCTTTGGCATATGGAAATATGGATGTACACAGTAGTTTGTGTTCATGCTAGAGACAATGTGGGGATTACTAGAACCAAAATATGTAAGGAGTGGTATTTGGGGACATACAAGAAAGGGAGGGAGGAGGCGTATAACAACAGAAACTAGGGGGAAATGTAGCAACATAAGGTGGGGAGCCATAATAGAAAATACTGATGAGGAACGCAATGTAGGGAGTCTCTTTGATCCACACCTGCTTTTACTAGAAAAATCCAGCACGTGGATTTCATTGTTATTATGTGCTGTCTGTGATTCTCAGCTTCAGGTCATACAAGTGACTTGCTGAAATGGTAATCTGCCTAGCTCCTGATTGGTCTGTATCCACTTTGGTATTTTAAAATAAGAAATCTAAAATAAGAAGGCAGGAATCAACTGGAAAGGTTAAAATGCGGGTGAAGTTGATTGTACTTAGTTTTTAATAAAGCATTTTAGTGGTTTCACTGTGCCCAAAACAGCCCTTAGAATCTTCGTGAAAATTAATTCTTGAGGGACTCAAGAAAGAAGTCTCCTAGGCTGGAAGACTAAAATGAGAGTTCTTAACTTTTGTCAAGTAAAAAGAATATTATATGTGTATAAAAAAACATGCTGAATTTATCTTTGTACTGTAATGCACTCAATTTATTTAAAAAAAATAAGCTTAGAAGGCATGCCATAGCAAAAAGCCTCACTATTTAACCTTAATTCTTTGGGTTTCTAATAAATTCATGGCACAGTTGCTTCTTGGAATGTATCTTCCTGTGTTTGGTCATAACAGAATTCAGACAGTTTCTCTGTGGTATTTTGGTTCCGCGTGGTCATTTTATGTTCTAACCAACTTCATGTATTTTTAAATAAAAGTCCATTGAGTACATAAATTTGCCCTAGGGACACCTTGGGAAGCCAATGAAAGCAAAAAAAA